TCTGCCATGCATCTCATCTTGCGAAAAAGAAAAATTCACAGACCATAGAAATGCTATGATCACTGTCAGCCGATGCGAAATGTCAGCATTGTACAGGAATCTCAAAGCTCGAGTAGCTCATGTTGTAGCCAATGTCATACGTCTTGTATCGTCTTGTCACATCATGTTATACTGGCCGTCCCAGAACCTCCAACATCTCCGCATTGCGACGCTTCTCGAAGTCCTCCTGGTGCCTCAACCGCCAACAGAAAAGTGACGAGGCAACAGCTGCGGTCACACAAAAAAATTACTAAGACTACAGCAATGCACAGTTTTGCTAGGAAATGCATGGAAATGCTACAAGGTTTCGATCAATTTTTCATCATATGATTGGTAATATTTGATGCAAGTACTGCTTTGTTGCTATGCAACTCATGTTCGTCAAGTATTGAATAAAATCATAGTATGTCGTAATTATGGAATAGTATGGAATAGTTGTGATAAAATGTGTTGGTAAAATGTGTTGGTGTCTTTTTTCTTTCTGTTTGGAGTGGAGATCGCCTCTGCAGAGAGGCGAGTTCTTCTTCTTCGAGGACCTCCATCATGCTCTGCTCGAGGGTCTTGCCCACGAGGACCTGCAGTTGCAGCTGCACGAGCAGAACACGAGCAGAACACGAGGAGAACACGAGGAGAACACGAGGAGAACACGAGCAGCACTCAGCTGTGCTCGGGCAATCTGAGTTCAACATCGTCAAAGTGTCTTAAAGATTCTTAAAAGATTCTTAAAAGATTCTTAAAAGTGTCTCAAAACGTCTGTGTCGTCCCTCCACACCATCACACCTCCAACACTGGTTCGCATTCGACGTCAAAATCGAACAGTTCACCCTCCTCGATCTGCGTCTCTATGTCGATACCGATCTGAACAGGCAGGCGTTGCTCTAGACAATCTACAGAATCCTCTAATTCTGCAAAAGTTGCCTTTGCTCAACCAACATGGGAGATGGAAAATATATATATATACACATATTACAATTACGTGTGTATATATATACATACATATTATAATTATGTAGATAGATAGATAGATAGATAGATACATAGATACATAGATACATAGATACATAGATAGATAGAGATAGAGATATAGATCTAGATATAGAGATAGAGATAGAGATAGATAGATAGAGATAGAGATAGAGATAGAGATAGAGATAGAGATAGAGATAGAGATAGAGATAGAGATAGAGATAGAGATATAGATAGATATAGATAGATATAGATAGATATAGATAGATATAGATATAGATAGATATAGATAGATATAGATAGATATAGATAGATATAGATAAAGATATTAGATATAGATATAGATATAGACATAGATATAGACATAGATATAGACATAGACATAGAGATAGAGATGAAGATAGAGATAGATAGATAGAAAGATAGATAGATAGATAGATAGAGATATAGATATAGAGATAGAGATAGAGATAGAGATAGATAGAGATAGAGATAGAGATAGAGATAGAGATAGAGATAGAGATAGAGATAGAGATAGAGATAGAGATAGAGATAGAGATAGATAGATAGGTGGATAGATAGATAGGTGGATAGATAGATAGATGGAGAAGGGTTTCGTGCTTCAATTCTGGCAACCTGCGCAATATTTTGATGCAGATGATCACATTATATCACCATCGCATCTCAACAGGTCCTTGCACCATTCTGCAATGTTTCCACTGATGGAGCGTATGGCTCAGTAAAGGAGACGCGCCACTGCCTATAATATATATATATATTTATACATATATGTATACATATATAATGCTATATGCTTCGTTTTCCCACTGGCCAATAAACAGCTTCTTCGAAACCAACCAAGCCATCAAATTGGATTAGCTTGCACCAGGAAAAACGGTTGACCTTGCACAATGTCACATGAAGTTTGAAAAATGGCCTTCGCCGGCATGAAGAGCGGTGAGGGCGGACGGTCCAGGATGAAGTCTGTCTGCGTTTCTGCCTGGACAAAGGGTCACTCAACAGCACTGCCTGCATCGCCTAAGCTGGAAAGCGACAAAATCGCTATGGGAAACTCCGTATCAGAACGAGCTCTCGAAGCTATCCCCCAAGGCATTGCTCTTTTCCAACTTTCCCTGACGCTTCCGCTGTACCAACCTCAAACTCGACAATGCGATCGGTCAGTTTCTCCAAATACCTGTGACTGTCACAATCTATGCGCAATGTGTACCTGACATATCCTGGCATTGTCCTGACACGAAAGCGTAGGTAAGGTCCCAGTTCGGTCTAGCATGAGTTGAAAGCTGCTCGCAATGCTCAGCACTAAAGATTTTGACATACTTTGACATGCTTTAGTCGTACTTTGACCTCTTCACCGTCTTCACTTCGCATGAAATGTCATGGCGCACGTGTCGGTCTGAATGTCCATGTGCTTGCGACCTTGAACTGAAAAAAATGACAATCTAAGCAGCTTGTGTGATCCAACTTGGAGGGGGGAAAACAAAAACAACGTGTCTCTAACTCCGCCATTCTGCAGGGAGTCATGAAATGTCATTAATAGATGAATATTATGAGTAATATGAATTAATATGAGCAATATGATAGAAGAATATAGAAGATGTCTGAAGGCGCTTGACATATCTTGAATTATGTTGAAGTTGATATGTTTATGAAACGTCAACAAACTCCACATGAAACTGAGGCGGGCTCCAGGAACTGCTTCTGGAGTCCCAGGACGTTTCTTTGTTTCATTTGCACCTAGGCAGCTTTGCATTTTGCAGTTGAGAACAGACACTCCGTGACATTCCTAATCGTTTCCACAACTTGGAATGATGGAAAAGTCAAAAGAGGACGTTTCCAGACAGTTGAAGCGAGATGTTGACACACAATTCTGAGCTTTGTGCGCAATCTGCGCCGCTGGGCATCCCTTTGCTTTTGCACCTTTCAGAACTTGAAAAGAAAACAGAACACAAGGTGAAATTGGTGTGAACTTCATATGCATTGCTATCATCTGTCCAGGTTCTAATTCAGATCAATGTTTCGTGTAACAGAAGCTGCCGTTTGGACTCTTGTGCTGACGTCACGAAGCACGAAGCTCGGAACCTCTGTTTCATCTTCAGGTTGGACGATAGCTGCATACGTGTTTCCACGCACCACGCGGCGATCGTACCTGATGCATAAGGAAGTCAACAAATTTAGTCAGCATTTATCAACAAGTTTTAAAACGTATGCCGCACACTATGCTTCGGAATATGCCACAACCATCCAGTGACCATGTCTACATCTCCTGACACTGCATGACTCACTTCTGACCTTAGCATTGCCTTTGACTATGTCTTCCTCTAATTTTAGACTCAGAATGACTTCGCGTCGACTGCTGTCGCACATGATGTTCCCATGACCCTTCGTATCATTCGGATCTCTGTACCTGAGCGACGAAGCCAATACTGCAAAAAAGCGGACTTCAAAAGCTGCTTTGAGTACCCCAACCAACCGAAAGCTAATTGTCTTCCTTGGCACCTCTTTGCAAACTGCCTACTGGAACATGGACAATGGAAAATGGAACAGGGAAGTGGACAAAGTCAAAGCTTTCACTGCTGTCTAGACACTTATTCCTCGATCCCACAGCTTGTGGAGCAGAGGAAAACTGCTGCACCTGAACAGAGTTATCACAACTTGCTACAAGCTGAAACCGCCGCAACATGCCTGCAGAAGAATTATTGTCATGACTCATGACTTGTTCAAATGTCCAATCAGTGAATCCTTCTTTCTTGGGTCGTTTTCAGCTTGTTTGGTCCTGCTCTGGTGTCTACATTAGGTCCAGCCTCTCCTCCTCTGTTCATTCCTCACCTCAAGCAACTTATCCCAGGGGTGAAAGTCCAAAACATGTGGTGGGTAACTTTCTGCAACATTCTGCGACGAGGAAACTAAGTCCTAGGTGGTTCAACTTTGCAATAACACGAAGACCAATAAAACACACAGTTTCATTCAACTCACTTTGTCGCACCAATCATTCTAGACCGAAAAACTTTGGCCCCAGCTTGACGAAGCACTTGGCCAAAGTCTGCTTGAGCCGTCTGAAACCCTAAAAAGGGTCTTCGGCAACCAAGAGATGCAGCTTGTCAAGCACAACTTTGGTTGAATACAAAGAAACACCTGCACTTGTTGAAATGTGTTAGAAGTTGTTGAACATACTTGGAACTATTTGAACATTGTGTGCTTGTCTCAAGGGAACAAGTGGAAAACTGCGCGAAGATGTGCTCAGGCACTACCAGTAGAGGCGCTGGAAAAAAAGATTAGGACAGGTATGGACAAGTGGAGTACAGGAGTGTTTTGAAGACGCAATCAACCGAAATCAGAGGAGAATCCAACATTGCAGGTGAAGATAGTTCAAGCTTTTTGATGCTACAATCAGATCGCGAAATGGCGGCACCATGGCCACAATTGGCCAGATGCAGCCATTTCATGCCATTTCATGCCATTTCCACAGATATTCACCTTTTTTTCCATTTTTCACCTTTTTTCGCACAGATTGGGAACTCAGGGAGCTCACAGCCCCATCCAACATTTTGAACATAAGCAGACACTAGCTAGCTAGGCCATGGTCGTCAGATTCCTTCCAGCGATGACCACCTCAAGGTGCGCTCGGCCGGTCTCACCATGGTCTCACCATGGTCTCACCATGGTCTCACCACAACTCAAGTTCTGCTATGGAAGATCATGGTCTCAACATGTCTCACCATGTCTCAACCACTTTTCTATCATGTCTCAATATGTCTCAACCACTTTTCTATCATGTCTCAATATGTCTCAATATGTCTCAATATGTCTCAATATGTCTCAATATGTCTCAATATGTCTCAATATGTCTCAATATGTCTCAATATGTCTCAATATGTCTCAATATGTCCCAATATGTCTCAATATGTCTCAATATGTCTCAATATGTCTCAATATGTCTCAATATGTCTCAATATGTCTCAATATGTCTGAATGAG